CCATCCATCCTCATCATCTCTTGGTTTATTGCTCTCTTTAATTTGAGTACCCCGTCCTTTATGCACTGAGCCCTGGCAATGTAGTGATGTGCAGCCTGCTAATCATAACTCCTCCTCTCCCTTTCTGTTTCTTTCCTTCCTCATGTCCCCTCTTCTCTACATCTACTGATTCCCCATTTTTATCATCCACTGTTTAATCCACTTTTATTTTGCTCTCTTTTCTTCCTTGTTTCTCTGTTCTCGTCCCCCTCAACAGTTCTGTAGCTTTACTGACTACTGCACTTTCTTGTGCTGTAGCATTACTGACTACTGCACTTTCTTGTGCTGTAGCATTATCGACTGCACAGAAATGCTGAGGGAGTCCACATAGACCGCATATTGATTGATACAGCTTAACGCTGCAATGTTTGTTCATATTACGTACGTCTGACAACCAGTCTAGACCTTTTAAAGCCCTTGGAGAAGTGAGCAGTACTACACCGGTGTTTGTTTTTAGTTAATGAATGGAGCTATTTGTACTTAAGAGTTTAAAACGTGGTGTTTGGAATCTGGAGTGTTTTCTTTATTCAGTAATTTGCTGCTCAGAACGGGCCCCATGAATAAACCACTCAAACAAACAAGGAAACAGAGGAGAGGGGTGTATGATGGGCAACGAAGGTTTAAGTTGGTGTCCAAAGAAACATGTTGCATCTGATTAACAGCAGCCTGTTGGAAACCTTTACAGGTGGAGTCGAGGCAAATTTCAGTTTCTTCAACCACATGTTCTCATCTTTGCTCCTTGTGAAGTTTAAATACTAAGTCCTGTGTATTTGTGCAATTGTTCCATTTTAGGAAAAATTAAGTGTTTGATCACACTTCCAAGCAGGACACGCGGTTGTAGTTTGTGATTTCACACCAGCCAGAACGCACCGGTGGATTTTGGGTTTCACCGACCTAGACCAGAACCCTGTAATAGGGAGTGATGATGACAACGCACTCTGGTTTGTTGTTGCTCATTAATCAGTGCCAATAAACTAGAGTGCCCCGTCATCAGACAAATCGTATACTGGCCTTTGTGCCGGCTGCGTCATGTAGCTAAATGATCGATCACGCTGTAAAGATTCCAGACAAGAGACAGTTGGTACTATTTCAGCGCTGCAGCGTTGTCTGAAGTGATTGCCTGTTTTGCTTCAACGAAGGGGAAATAACAGGCTTATTCAACCAGCCAGTACAAGCTTTTTATTCGTCGTTGTGAGAACCTTCCCTAATACGTCTGTGTTGGCCGGTTGAGCACATTCATCATGGTGTCCTCGCACCTTTCAAAAGATCGCACCGGCCCCCCATAAGAGGCCGAGATAATGTATGCACGTCCTTGATATTTTTAGAAGACTAAGCGAATGAAAAAAGGACATCGTGCCTAAAATGACATTAAATTAGACTGTCACACTTTACTGCCTCTATAACCATTTTGTAAGTAGCATGAATAAGAGGGATGGAGGGCATCTGCATTATTTACAGTGGCTCTTAGCATGGCGCGCTCGCCACAGCTGTTTTTAGACACGCTGCCTTTGCTTTCGAGACTTCAGCTCCATTAATAAATGTTCAGCTTTTCGTTGATGTGGCTGCGATTGAGTAGAAAGGAGGCTGAATCGGCCAACGGTGATGCTGAAAGAACACGTTATGCAATTTGTTCTGGCTGGTACTCGGTAAAGTACGAGAGTGGTGTTGTAATAACTTCAGCTCATATATGCTGCATTAATAAATGAACACGCATGTTTGAGAGCGTGTACATTTTCACTGCTGATCTTCGTGACATTCCCCATAATGTATTTAGTGTGACCGACTGCGAGCGGTCAGAGTGAACACATTACTGGCAGGCTGTATTAAACGGCTAACGTGCCCAAGTCTGGTCACTAAAACACAGATGGGCTGCCCCTGTTTCAGTAAATGTCAGAACGGCGGTACTGACTGTGCTGTACAGAGCCTGACGCTGACGCGGGTCATTTCAAAACTGATCCTGCCAACACTCAAAATGTTATAAAACACTTTGGGTGTGCCATTAGTGCTGAAAATGTCCTTTTTTGCTTGATGGCTTTCATAATCTTGCAACATGGCAGCGCTCTACTCTACTGCACTTACTCAACTAATGCTGAACTTTTTAGTGGCTGCTTGAATTTGCTCCACTGCTGATCAAGTTAGTTTTGAGAAATTTTAAGCGCAACTTATATAATATGCATCACTGTTACTCAAACTTTTTTTTTTAGTGCACCCACTTTAAAAAAAAAACAGGCCTTATCTATAAATCGTGAGAAGAGCGAATTTGTGCGTAAATAAACATTCCTGACCATTGTTACTGCCATTTCCGCATCTCCTTATTACTCTACAGGTAAACCAGTTTTTGGAAAAAGATATTTGCCAGAGGCATGAGATTAAACACTACTTTTCATATTTAGTGGGCAGCATGAACCCAGGAGCTAGAAACTGTTTTTATCATTTTAAGCTTAAGAATTCAAGGAAGTATATCAAGTATTTGGAGTTTCATATTATTTTACTGTTTGTTATACTAATCATTCACCTAATTGTTTCTCGCTCCAAGCCAAAGCCAATTTAGAGATTTCTCTTTGGTATTGTGGCTCTTCAGTGCAGTCACTGTGTAAACAATGTACAGCAGCAGATGGAGACAGAGGTCAGCCAAACCCTGCGTGTTCCTCTATGATATCTTAATCTGCTGCTGTGACTGGCTTTCTATTCGAGGAATGTTGTGCTCAGACAACCTTCTTCAGGTGTGGTGTTCTGTGCGTTTCTGAATGAGTGTCCTTTTTTGACACCGTAATCTTACACATAGACCATTGTCAGAGCAGCAGGCCTCGGAGGAAACGGATACAGAGGAAGTGAGTCATTGCATTGCTGCCCTTCTGAAGTTTCACAGTGAAACTAGTCTGCAGTACCTTTGAGGCCACGGTGCTGTGGCTTATATTGTGATCTTTTAATGCATATTGTGTAGATAATAAGGCAGAAGTTTTAGTGACGTATTGCTCAGGAATGTGTGGAAAATTCCGATGCGCACCATCGTTGGCTATTAAACGCCAAAGTTCTGCCTTATGTCCACAATCTATGTATTAAAGGTCACAAACTCAGCTGCAGCACCTTTGCTCTGTGTCCTCTGGTGCTGAGAAAGACCCTTTTATTGGGTTGATGGTAGTTTTCCATGCAACAGTCATTGCTTGTTGATTTTAATATCCCAATGCATTGATTTGATGAGTGGTTACTAGGTTGTGAGAGCATACATGTACATAAGTTATGTGTCTGCATACTTTAAGTTTGACCCTTTCTGACCCAGGTTTAAATGTACCTGCGTGCCCATGATTAACGGAAGGTTTTAGATTACTGCTTCCTTTCATTAAATGGCAGGACTTGGACCAACAGGAAAAGGGTGATTTGTGTTGCCTGCACCATATTTGAATTAATCAGCGTTAATCAAAAGCTATTTTAATTCATCACCCTTGTCCTACAGCAGGTTGAAGCCTCTTTCCTCTGGTGGGAGAGTCTATTTTCAGATGATTACACTCTTGTCTCCAGACAATAAAAGCCTGTTTAAGCATTACAATAACTATCTCAACAAGACAAGCTTTTCTTTTTTTTTTTTTTTTTATACAATGTTTTTCTTTATTTGGATACTTATTCTATTGAATTTAATGAAGCTAGGTGCTGGCAACCCCCAGGTGCTATTTTGGGTGAGCACCTCACATTTTCCCCTGCATTTCGCAGCTCAGCCAATAGCCGTGGCAGGTAAAGGTCAGGGGGAAAAGAAGGCAATGTGGAATCCAGGGGAATAGGGTTGATTTGGCGCTCTCTTTACCAGTGCCCAACGCATCTCACTTCTAAAATGTATCTTTAAAGTGAAGCATGTGTGGAGGGCAGGAGCATATGGTGGCTGAGCAGAAAACACCATCACTTGTTCACAGCTTAATAACAGATGGAAGGATTATGAACATCACTGGCCATCATTGAACCATCTTTTTTTTTTCTCATCTTATTCCGTTACCTATAAACTTTTGTCAAACATGTCCAGTTGGGTTTCTTTTCTGTGTCTTTGATTTATTTAATTTCAGCCCCTCCTTCTCATTAAAACTCAAGTTGCCCTCCTTTGATGCTCCTCAGTCAGCACCTTTTCCCCTCCTTTCTGGGTCTTTTGTCACCAACAGAAGCTTTGGATTTAGAAGATTAAAGATCAAAAGCGAAAAAGAAGTGCTAGTCAATCCACGGTTTATTGCTTGAATAAAGTGATCATGCTTTAGGGTATCTAAGCTGGGTTTGTGTGGTCTGAGTATTTCATTTACTGAACGTCTTCCGATGTGTACAAATGCCACAGAGTCCCCATCATTGAAACAGAAGAAGCTCAGCCAGAAACAAACAGGAAGTCTGGCCTGTCATTGAAGAAGCATTATTGCTGCAGAAGCTGACATGACTGTTTGGTTTCTGACCTTTTTCTCAGCCAAGTCTGGAATAAATAGTGTTAACTCGGGGCCAAGCAGACAAGACAATTCATGGTCAAACACATCAGAACATCTGCTTTTTCCATTGCAGAGAGTACAGTTTCCCGCTTTCCGTCGGCCTTAGGGCAGAAATACAGAGAAGCGCAGTTGAAGTCGTTTGGAATTTCAAGGAACTGAACCTTGAAATTAAATTTATAACTAAAGACTGCACCATTTATATTCTCAAATAGTGATATCTCAAGGGTTATAAAACCTGATGCATTGGTTCAGATCTTTTACTATTATCATTATTAGTTATAAATACCCTTCTGTTCTGCAAATGAAATGATTCAGAGTCGAATACTTTGTCGGTGCTTCATTAGCTTTGGATTTAATGCCATCGTTCATACACAGAAACGAGCACTTAGATACTTTCTGATTGAGTCCTTTTCTCATTATCGGTGTTTGCATTATTATCTCTGCCTCGGCTTCCAGTTCCTGACAATGGTATGTGAACTTACCCTGTGGACCATTTTTCTCTTGCAGTACCGGATTGGGCAGCTGTACATGATCAGTAAACACAGCCACGAGCAGAGTGATCGAGGGGAAGGAGTGGAGGTTGTCCAGAACGAGCCGTTTGAAGACCCGGCGCACGGCCAAGGACAGTTCACCGAGAAAAGAGTCTACCTCAACAGGTCAGTGGAACGCCTCATTTCTACGTTGTTGTCCAACATAAATGAATCGTTTTAAGTGTTGCAGTCTACCGGCAGTTCATCCGACACATCTTTAGTAGAGCCTGTAGCCAGTTAATCATGCTTTCCAGATTTGATATCTTTCCTGATATATTTTTGTGGGTTTAAAACGGGAGGTGGAAAGATGATCATAAGCCGGCATGGCTTAACAGTTTTTAAAGTTGAACTAAAATATAATGAAATTCTGAAACTGCAGAAGAGAAACACTTCAGTAATGCGCTTAGTAACAACTGGTGCTAAATTATTTCTTTTTTTCTGTTTTGGCTCACAGCCTTTAAGGCTTGCAGTCCATCTGGGACTAGATGTCTTGTTTCTGAACTTTTTCACTCAAAGAACAAAGTCGGCTACAATTTTAATCCACAGCCATGACTTTTTCCAAGCTGGAAAAACATGGAGTATATAGTCTAGCGCATTTCAACTGGCTAAGATGACATTTAGACATTTGATAAGGCTGGAAATGTTTGCAAACATGCTGATCACTGCAGGTTTTTACGAGCACGTTTCCATCGCAGTAATACATCACCCCATACTGATGCTTCTCACTGCATGACATGCAGATGCCTGTGTGAACCCTGCACACAGTTTGGTTAGACCCACATGAACCAGAGAGAGATGATGGAACATTTGAAGAAAAGAAAATGATAGGAGAGGGGGAGAATGGAGGGGACAGAGATGCTGCAGACCATTTGTTTAAGCACAAATACCTGTGTCAGCGTTCACTATGCTAGAGAACTAATTATGCTGAGTCGACACAGCTCTGTTCAGAGGAGAGGGAGCTTACAGAAATAAGCTGGGCTTCCATTCAGGTATTTTTCAGGCAATGTGTATATAATTATTAAAAGAATATAAATAAGAAAGCGCAACTCCTTATTAACAAGTTCGACATTTCACAAAAAAAGCTAGTTGCAATTGTATGAACTGTTCCATGACGACTTGACGTGTTAAAACCATTTCACCATCTATGTTTAAGTCTCTGCTGTGTCTTGAGCGCTTCAGGCCACAGACACAGCTTGTTTACTTACAACTCTCTTTACCCGTGAGATTTTAATAGATGCGTTATAAAGAACAAATTCTCAGCATGCATGTCCATTTACATCTGCACCTTAGTTGGAAATAGACAAAACATTGACCTTTTCAGAGTAGCTGTCATTTCTCAGGGTGAACAGGAGATGGGGACATGAAGCAGTGGCTCCCTCTCACACCTATTCCTGAAAAGTTGTTAGTTATTGACACGTTTTTGCATTCCGTCAGGGAAGCAAAACTAAACGTGTTGATGCTGATGAACACGCAACAGGACAGTCTCATACAAACTGTGCTATGAATCAAAAGTCCCAACTCTTGATGAGGAAAACAAGAAAAACGTGCACAAAATAACAGAAGGCAATGACGATGTTATTTTAGATTGTGATTTTACTAACCACTGTACTCAACTGGTCCATCTGGCTCTGCATAAACTGATTCCCCAGCAGGGAAGTCAATCTGGACTCATTCTGTCACGCTTCAACCTCCCCAGTAGCCCTCAAAATCTGCCTCGCGCTGTGCTTCACTATTTGGCCACTTCCCATCTCACTTGAACATCGTTTCCAAGCTTTTTCTGATGGTCGGATGGTTTATTATGAGTGAATAAAGAGTTGCCTTTCCTTGGATGTGTTCAACCAAATTAGGGTGTCTTTTTAAAATGTATTTTTTCCGACTTTGGCACGAAAACTCCACCCCAGCCACCCACCACGCTTGGCAACGTGTGCCCCCGTCACAGCAGCTATTGGCAAAGACCTTTTTAAAAGAACAAGGATGGAATGGGAGAAATCAACAGATGGAGGTGTAGGAGTGTCAGTCTCTTTTGTTGGGAGGGGGAGAGGGAGAGAGCCTGCCAACATTCACACAATGTGATCATCGATGGCTGTTTTTAGTCACAGCCGTCACGATGCAGTGGGCGCCATTTTTGTCCGCCTTAAGAAATTGTTTAACGTGTCAATCAACTGCTAGCCTGGCTCTGTCCAAAGGTGACTAAATTAGCCATCACGTCTATTCTATCTTGTTTGGCTGGGTGCTGCCTGAAAATAGTCCAAAACATAACCCCACCCCCCCCAACACTTATGGTCGGTTGATCATAGGTTCAATAGGCCTTACAAGTAATTATGTTGTAGAGCAATATGTGTTGGGTCTCCTGTAGCATATTCCTCTGAATTAAAGCCTTTGGAAGAGTTCTTTTCACACCCTCCCTCAGTTTCAATGTTCTTATACTGTGAACACATTTTCCTTTCACAAGTGGAACAAGTTTTTCGTGATTGCTGCGATAGCGGAAGCAATTTCAGCCCCCGTACCCCCTCACCCCCCTGCGTCACTGCTACATGCTCACAGTTTCGCTCCTAATCTGTCTCCGTCCGTCTCGACATCTCTCTGCAGTAAATTACCCAACTGGGCTCAAGCAGTGGTTCCCAAAATCTTCTACGTGACGGAGAAAGCGTGGAACTACTACCCGTACACCAAAACAGGTGAGCATAGGAGTAATTCTGTTTGTCGGACTGTCGGCTAATCAATCTTTTGTAATTGCCAATAGCACAAACGGGCCTTACACTCTCAAACTCTCATCATATCAAATCCAGTTAGATGCTGCAACAATAACGGAGCCCTACTGTAACACTCCCTCTCTTGCTCTTGTGTAGAAATAGAGCCAACAATGGCTCAGGCTGGAATAGTTTAGGACGGCACCTCTTTTAAAGGTCAGCTTCTTAACTGGTTTTCAGCAGGCCGAAAGTTACTTTTCAGTCAAAACACAGTATACTCGGCACTCCACACTTGGTACGAACACTTTACTGGATGCTTTTATGGAGTTGGAGTAGCGTGTGAAAAAGCATGAGTTTTCCGGAAGCATTGGAGAAGAGTAATTTCTAGCACATGGTCCAAGACTGCTAATCTCCTCTGCATTTTTGAACACATATTTAATAGGAAAGGAAAGAGCTTTTCTACCAAAGTCCCCGTGCAACTTCTGACGTGTGTTGTATAATTCAGGAAACTCTGATCCTCACTTTTCAGTCAAATGTGATTTCTGAAAGACCTGAGGATTTAAATTTTTTTTTTTTTTTTTTTTTTTTATCTCCATGGATCCTGAGCTGCACGCAGCAACACTGGAAATTCGCGGTTGTGTAGCATTCCCAGCAAGATGCAAATTAGATGTGAGAAATCTGTGACCTCTGAAGACGGGAAACGTGGATCAATAAAGTTTACCCTTCAAATCTAAAAGCTGATTGTATTGACCTGGGACAGTGGCTTTAGACAAAAAACACACACTGTAGATTCATAAGGGGCCTTAATGCTGACACTGTTCACACTGTTCAGTTGCAGCTTTCTGTTTGTCAGTGTGCCAGGAAGACACGGTGTGAGAAAGCAGGAAGATGTTGATATATAAACATGTTGGAGCCGACGTGTATTTACAAGATTACAGTTTTGCCGTGAAGCAAATGCTTTTTATTCACGCTGACTGCAGCATAAGCTTTGCTTCGTAAATCACCGACATTACAAGCAACCAGTAGTCAGGAGTGCAACGATCAGAGCCGCAGTGCCCAGGACCCATTTCTGTGATGCTTTAATGATCCTGATCTAAGGGAAGACGTGTTACAAGCTGAGTACAGATGAAAGGGAATTTCTCTTTGATGAGAGCAAATTTAGAGAAGGTAGAGGGGAAAGTCACTAAAGAGGGGAAGATGTGAGGTCCCTGCAAGTCTCATGCATTTTGTTTCTGTACATCATGGCCTTCTCATTATGCTGTTGGTGGTTCATTAAAAATGTATTGATTAACTTATTCCTGTGCTCTCTCTGCCCTGACCCCGATGTCCGTGTCATCCCGCTCCGGTCTGTAGAATATACAGTAAGTATCCTATACATTGGGGATTAGAAATCTTAATAAACCTGTTCTCTTTTTAGAAAGCTATAATGTCTGTTTACAGAGATTAATTGGGTCTGCTGCTGTTTGAAGTGCAGACCCATTATATTGCAGAATTTCATCACAAAGGGATTAGGTTTTTCGGTTGAGGGTTGCATCTTCCATGTGAAACACCTCAGTGGGCGTGTCTTTTCTAATGGGGAGAGCTGCCCATGTGACCTGTAATTAACCCTCAAACGCATGAAGCGTTGGCAGAATAAACTGACACACGAGCATACGATTAGGCTTAGCTATAGGGCTTCTCTTGTGCAGAGTGAGAAATGTCAACGGCATGAGTCACGCCACTTTAGGGTGCAGGGACACGAGAGGAAAGACAACAATGTTGCTGCGACAGACTGCTTAATATTGTCTCCGTATATGTGTGGGGGCGTTTTATGTCCATGCATGAGTCAGTGTGGATACACCCATGCCAAGATTAGCTGTGAGGCAAAAGATTCACAAAAGTCTTTTTGGCTTTTGTCAATTTTGACAGGGAGATAGAAATGTACATATACAGTGAGGAAGAACATGGAGAGACAGAAAATTCAAACTGCTGCTTTCACAGCCGGTGTAAATACTATAAAAGTGTGCTTTTACATGCTTCTTTTGAAAGAAGTTACAGCAAAGCGTATTACCAAGTGGTCCATTTTGACAGCTGTATGCATTAAACTAGAGTTAAGACATGAATCAAAACCAAGTAACGTTTTCTGCATTACCCCAAGAGGGAAAGGAGGATAGAGGGGTCATGTTCTCCACTTCTACATCTACTCTTCAAACGCTTTAAAAGGCGGTAATACAACAATGACAGCTATGATATTATTTAGTGGTTTAACAGCTGTGCTCTTATCCACAGTGCTCCTTCTTGCCCAAGTTCTCCATCCACATAGAGACAAAATATGAGGACAACAAAGGATGCAATGACAATGTGAGTATACTGTGTGATAAGAGCTTCGTCGGGGTTCTGGGGATTTCGGTTCCTCAATAGTACACTCTGACAAGGAGTGTATGAGTACTATCTATCCAGGAGGAGCGATGGATTGATTCACCTATACTGATATCTTTGCAATAAGCTTGTCAGCCCATAGGCCTAATCATTGAATCAGTCAGGCTGTAACTCGCATACAAATCTCTCGGCTTAATATACATCTGCTACTTCTCTTATGTCCCTCTGATACAGAAGTCAATAGGCCAATTTAAAACACAAATGATCTCATAGCAGACATATGGTCAAACTTCTGCAAAGGCTACATGACTAAAACCATCCGGGCAGATTTGGCAACTCACAGACTTGACTTCTCCGATGATGTCCTTAGCAGTGTGCAGCCCCGTTGTGTTGTAATGCCAACTATACGATGGGCCCTGAGAATTTGCCAAGAAGTGCTCCACTTGTTGGACAGCTCATTTAATTTGGGCTGTTGGCCTCACTTTCTTTCTCTCTGTATTTTACTCCACTCCAGTTTATAGGAGCATTAGTCATCAAATGAAAGGTTGCCACTGCCTGGACAGTGAGGAAGAAGAACGATGGGGTAGTGTGCAACAGACAAATTGCTTGAAGTATATCATGGTGGGCTTCATTTTTTTAACTTAAAATTGTCAGTGGTGATTGTTTAAGGGAGGAATGGCTCCCAGCTTCACTCAAGCGTCATGTTTCAGAGTACTTCACACATGAAGCGCAGAGGGAAACAGAAATGGACAGTCAGTGAGCGTTAAACATGTAGTGATGTTTTGGATTGATGCTTGTTTGGTTTGACGCGACAAGGCGACAAATCAAAGACTTTTTTTTTTATTACATCTAACAGGAATGGCCTACGGCAAATGCACTTTAGATGCCAGAAAGTTTGAGAAATGCTGAGATGTAAGAGCGGCATCTATTGTCTGCGCACACACTATTCAATGGCACCATGTCATAAAACATGCAGAGCATCTTGTTTGTTTGCCCTGAAGATGTTGATGCACATTGTATAACCAATTCATGAGTATGTGAGGTCTATTTGCAATACAGGGTGCTGTGAAATAATGTCTGCCGCTGTGTTTTACATAACATTCTCTCTGAGCAAATGCCATGTTTTCCCATGTGTGGAGCCTGATGGCGTAACATACTGTACATCTGTGCACTCGGGGTGTCTCGACACTGTACGTCTTAAAGAACATCTGGAAAAGCAAGGACTTACTGAGTGGAAAGGTTTCAAAGATGGAGGAATGACGAGGAAAGAATTTAGCGAGTGAGGGGGTGGGGGGGATCGTTATGTGGACAGCAAATTAGTGAGCGTGTGCCAGTGGACATCATGTACCGTTTGGATGGAGGCTGCAGTAACGGTACATGATATGCAGAATTCCACTGTACTATCCAGTGCAGTCGAACATGTGCGCACATGCGATCACACTCCTACCCACACACTCGCACATTAAGCTTTAACATGTGTCCTGAGGCCCATGTTGCTCTTGTAATCTTTCCAAGGACTCCAGAACTACATAGCAGGCAGAATGAGAAAGCACTTTTTTATTTATATGTATATATTGGTCACACATGACCAGTCATCCACATTCAAAGCCGTGCCCAAATTGGAGATGGTTGTGAGCTATCATTACAAAAGGTGATGATGTTCCAGCCCTACACCTGCACGGGTGCCTGTCTCTTGAAACTAGTGAAGTACACTTGGAATTGCGTGCAAAAGAAACGCGTTCCTCATTATCCTAGATTTTCTATAAGGCCATTCAAGATCACAACCTCCGAAAGCCATTCGTTAAAGTAACATCTGTAACTGAAATGGGAAGGAGTGTCTGTCTTTTTTTGTTTTTTCTCAACCACTGTACATCCGATCGACGTCACACTGTGGGTGTATTGCTGAGGACCCCAGCAAGCGTAATGTATGTATGAGGGGGTCTCAACAAAGCTGCAAGCAGCAATGCTGGAGGTCAAACAACCGGGTTGCTCTGAACAGGCACAACTGGCACTGCAGTATTTTAATGAATAAGGACATCATCCTCAACATGTAACATGCTGAATCTCTTCTGTTCATCCAACATCCAAATATGAATGCTTGGGGAAAAATGTTATTTCTAAAAATATTATGAACCTAATTTAATCCAGCTAATGATGATCTCTCAGGCATGTCATGGATGAGATTGGTCTGTTATGTTTGTATTTTCCCTTTTGAGGCTAACGTATTGCGGTCCAGTCCATTTTTGTATTTGGACAGTGATCACTATAAGCCTTCAGAGCCTTAGCTGCAGAGCATTTGAAGACGAATGTCCTACAGTGTACTAAAATGATCATACTGTCTACCTGTGTTTTGACTTTGTAGTGTGTTCGCACGGGAACACTGACAAAATGAATCGCACCAACAAATGCTGGCATTCGCACTAGAATAGTGCACAGCATTAGCATGTAGCGTTGTATTGGGTTGCAGCTCAGGGTATGTAGACTTTGGGATTGCCCAGATTGATACTTTAGTAGTGGGAGAAGTAGGAACAGAGGATGAATGTCTTTTTGGGTTATGTCATTCTGGCATTTTCAAAATGACACTGAATGGCTTTATTTACTGGTCAAAACAAGATTATGTTACTGATTGGCACTTGTGAATGTTATATCATACGTTGTGTGCAGTTAAGTTCATTTTGCATCATAAAAATTGAAAGTTATTTAAGAATTTCCCAGTTGCAGTGTATTATGATCTTTTGCTTAAAGCTCTGATTTGCTTAAAATTCACTTTTACTTTGAACATTATTCAGTAAACCAGAGACTCTTCCAAGTCATTCGTACACTCGTGTGTTTATGGTTTGCAAAGTGATGCGTACGTGCTCTTTATAGATGTCTTTCCTTTCATTCTCATCTCTAATTACACACACCCATGTTTCCTCTCTCATGCTATAACCTTTCTTCCCTCCTCATCCTTGCTTGTCTTTGCTGTCATTTCCACTGTTTCCCCCACTGCTTCCTCTCTTTTTCTCTCCCTCCCTGTGACTCCTTCCCTCTACTCTTATTACACTGTGTTGCTCCTGCCTCCCCCCACCACCACGGCATCTCATTTTCATTGTTTCCTCCTCATCTCTCGCTCGCTCTCTCGCTCTCTCTCTCGCTCTCTCCCCCCCCCCCCCCCCATCCAGTCTCATTCCTGTCGCTTGGTTGCACTCATCCATGCTGACATATCGCCCTTATTGTGCCAGTAGTGCTCATCCGCAGTGTGAATGACAGAATGCACCCTTGGAGGGGAGGAGAAAAGTAGGGAGAGAAGAGTATATGTATCTGCAGACAGAAAGTTCACATTCAGTTGAGAGGCGAAGAAATGTACCAACTGATCTACTAAATAGTTCAAACGGAAGCTGTATAAAACAAAAATATTTATGTGAAATACTTAGGAGAATGTATCATTTATAATGCAGAACTACAAACAATAATTATGATGTAAAACTGACTTATGGCCATGGATGGATTGAATACTTGATACATGCACTTTGTAAAATTAATTATTTCTTGATTTAGTCTAGTAAGGTCCATATTATCAACATTGTGACAACTAATGAAGAATAAGAATCTTAAAGACTAAGAAGGTTGCACACCTGTCTTATCAACATATGTCACAGTAATTGCAATCAGCACTGTCATTTGGCACAGTAACCAATAAAACACATGGGCACAGGGCACCACCTAATGGTTATATAAGCAAATACAACATGTGTTTGTTTGGCAGAGCAACGAGGAGATAGAGTGACAAGATGCACAGTCAAGTGTTGGTAACAGTATGAACCATTTCCAGCTTTTGAGTCGAGCAGAAAGGCAGGTTTGCCAGCCACAAATGTGATGATGTAACATGGAAAAGACACATTTTGGAGGTTTTGTTTTTGTGAGGAGGCTGCTCTGATTGGCAGGCAGAGAGCGTTCGCAAACCCATCTGTTCTGCTTTCAGATCTTTGACAACGAGCTGAAGGAGCAGGAGAGGGAGGTGTGTTTCGTCGACATCGCCTACGATGAGATCCCCGAGCGCTACTATAAAGAGTCTGAGGTGAGCTTGTGGGGGTGAGAGTGTGCAGATGCTCACGGCTACTGGGAGTTAACGCTACTAAAGAGGTGCAAGTGTAGCGTTTGATCTGGAAATGCTCTAGTAAGGCAGTGTGATTGAGATGAAACGGTAGGATGACAACTGTCTAACTTGTTTTACATCCAATATTTTCCAGTGAGAATGTTCCTCTCTGAGTATCTTTAACTGTATACTGGCATTCAGTCATGCGTGTAATTTAAGGGTCCACCTTGCCCTCCACTGGTGTGCAGAAAAGAGATACCCGACGGTTTTGGTGTATTATTGTAATAATAAACATGCGTGTGTTCATTTTCACCACATTGCAGGACTTGCGCTATTTTAAGTCGGATAAGACGTCGCGGGGGATTCTTCAGGAGGGCTGGAGAGACACCCAGGACCCCATCATGTGCTCATACAAACTGGTCACCGTCAAGTTTGAGGTGTGGGGTTTGCAGACCCGTGTGGAGCAGTACGTACACAAGGTGAGAGGTTGCCCATGGAATGAATGTCTTGTCATTTTAGTCAAACATTTAGTTGAACCTTGGCTTTAAGTTGCATAAATAAATCTTTATATTTACTTATTTGGCCCAGTCCCCTGACTATTTGGTCATTGTTATTAAAAATGCAATTTTCAATGGTGTTCTGAGGCAGCTGGTTAAAGTACTTTCACCATTAAGCTAAATTGTAACTTCAAATCCTAAAGACGAGAGGGTCTGGTATCTTGGTCTCCATGACCTTCCTTCTACAGCCTGAATCTTGAATTGTTTGCTTTGAAACCTCATATCATTGATTTATAAAAAGATACTGTGTTACCGTTTTCTTACCGTCATCGCGTTGTGCTACAGGTGGTTCGGGATGTGCTGCTGCTGGGACATAGACAGGCATTTGCTTGGGTGGATGAGTGGATTGGTATGTCTATCAGCCCTTTACTACAGTCCTTCTCTATATACTCATTTCAGTCGTCAACTATTCACTCACATTAGGTTATCATGAATGCATTGCCTAGACATTTCTTATATAAGAATATAGATGAAAGTAATCCTTTTCATTGACATATATTGTGATCAACTGCTAGGGAATACATAACCAGTTCAATTTTCCATGTATTTGTATGTGGTTAGATATGACCTTGCTTGAAGTGTTATGTTAATGCTATTCTTTGAAATGTTAGCACTATTGTACCTACTTTATTTATATAAATCAGTTTTGTGATTGTTTGTTTACCAGTATGCATGAAATCACTACACCTGCATCTAACCCTGTCGCTGCCAGTCACGCTCATTCTCCTACAGCATGGATCCTCCTCTTGGTATCACTACTAACCCACCAATGATGGGCACAGTCACTTTGTTTCAAATTATACCTGCATGATTAAAAATGATTTAATCGATACAGTTTCATGTTTGACGAATTCATATAAACTGGTTTATTGAGTCGAGAGTAGAAACACGACTGGTATAAGTGTAGTACCGTTACTGGTATAAGTGTAGTACTGGTATAAGTGTAATACCGTTTCAATAATTCAAACTATATTTGGCACTATATTTCATATTAAAGCCAAATATTAAGTTGGTAAAAACAAATGCTTGTGTATATGTATAAACCTTGCCAGCAATACTGCAGTTTCATGAAGGAATAATTAGTGATTTACATCAGTGAAGAATTTGCTGACTGAAATGTGAGTGGTCGCACAAGAGGCAGCCCTGTTTCCAGCCTATTTGGGCTAAGATAACAAGCCAGTTATCCTCTCCTCTTTATAACTACTAACCTTTATACCGCAACTCCAAACAGCCCGGATGCTTGAAATACTTCCTAAATATTTTTACATGTTGAATAATTTTGCCCAGAGAATAAGTGTTGCTTACGTAAGCAGTCATTCAACCTCTTCGGGTGTGGATTGTTCTTGCTTTTATCCGATCTTGAAACATCCTTGACCTTCCTTTCTCCCTCGCTCCTGGTGTGGCTCTGATTTGTCTAGCTCGCTCCTTCTAAACGCTCTGGGTCATGGGAAGCTACCCCTTTTACCTCCTAAAGCTTTCACTTTAAAAAGCTTGAATCATCCTTTAAATCTGCTTTACTCACCCATGGAATGCACCTTTGCCAACTTATCCTCTCCTTCCCCACCTGCTTGTCAACCGGAGCCCCGTTATAGAAGAGTACACAACATTTCGACCCCATTCTTTCAGATATGACTTTTGATGACGTGCGGGATTACGAGAAACAAATGCATGAGCAAACCAACATTAAAGTTTGCGATGAGCAGCAAGAGCAGTCCACCCCAAACCCATCTTCACTGGATGACAAAGAGGCCCATGCAGGACCAAGCGTATGTGTCGTTTACATTGTTTCTTGACGCCATTGCCCCAGCTCTGTCTCATACTTGACCTGTTGCGTTGGTGACTAAAGTTGTCAAAGTTGCATATAACTGTCCCCCTACATCTACTCATGTAGGGGGGACCTACAAACGATGCATACATGGATTGTTGAATATGTAAAGACTATGATAATTCAAGTCTACAAAGATTCTCTAAAGGTTTGATAAACTATCTAGGAAACACAAATGAACATCTTGGTAATTTAAATAACAAGCGATGAGAAAATTATATTTTCAAATTATATTTTTTGACTGTTTTGAGCCTGTGGCTCTTATAATAACTTGGAGTTATGGAAAGCTTCAGTTTCCGCCCATTGGTGTTTTGCAATTGTCTACAAAGAGTAAAACGAATCTACTTTCGCAATTCTGCCTCATTGATCTCAATTGATCTTTTTTTAATCCAGACATGACGATGGATGAGGTGAGAGAGTTTGAGCGCACCATCCAGGAGGCCACCAACCAGAAGATAGGGATTTTTCCGCCGTCGATCTCAATCAGCGAGACGCCCCTGTCTTCCTGTTCCCTCAGCGCCCCCACCACCCCCATGTCCACTGATGCGCCTGAGTCCCTCTCTGTCGCCAAGGACCGACCCCGCAAAAAGTCTGCTCCAGAAGCCCTCACCCTTCCTGACCCTGCCACAACTGGTGTTCCCCAGGGCACTTCCATGAGCCCACTTCCCATTTCAAACCACCTCCAATCATCCACACCACCCGCCTCCAACACTGATATTGCTGAGATGGACAAGCAGTAGAGGGACCTCGGGATGTCTTCCCCCAACCCCCATTGTCTTAGTAGCCCAACGAGACTAGCCTAACCTCCAAACACCAGTGGCCAGACATTCAAGTTATCTAGCCATATCTAATGATTTGCCATAAACCTGGACACAAGTCATGATCACCATTGAAGTCTACATCGGTGTCACTGATGCCTTCCAGGCAGCTGTAGGTTTAGCCACCTTGTTGTGGTTGGCCTGTGAGTCTAGCCAGCCACATGTCTCATCTAATATAACAACCACCTGTGATGTCCAATCAAAACAAAGTGCATCTTTAGTTATTTTTTTGTTGAGCAGCATATGAATACCTTTTTTTTTGAGCGTTTTCTTCAATCAGACAAGTCGATTGCTTTCAAGCTGTTGAACTAAGAAGTAGTTGCCTTAGCACCACAGAGCCGGTGGTGTTTATTAGTTTTGACAATGTGTGCGAATGAATGCCTGAGAAACATTGTCCTTTGTAAAATGGTTGTATTTACTGAATTAGAACTTGCTGACACAAACTACAGTAGAACTATATTAGACTAACACACACCAGAAGGACAGCCAAGTACCCTCAGAACAGAGCTTAGTGACCGTTTCCTGAGCAGGCCTGTGGATCAGATTGCACTCATCCTTTCAATCCCAAACTCCAATTATACAACGGATGCAAGATCAGTACAATCATAGTTTACGCCTCAGGTCTCCCAGACTCTGCCTGGCTCACACTAAAGGCAGGGATGTTACTGTACCGTTCTCTCCCTACTTATTGCCAAACAGACACATTTTATACCTCCACAGATATTACAATACAGCAACTATTGTTTGTACTGTACCAGTCTACTTAACCCTTGGAATGTTTACACATCAGAAACCTTGGAGCGTTTGCGTAACGGCAGTAATGTTGTAACTTAAGCTGTTGTATCTGCACTTGCGGTTTTAGCATGATGATGAAGATCTGATTCTAAAATGGAATACGTTGGAAGTTTATTACTGCATATATCTTACTCAAGTTGACTGAGAGGTCGGTACAAAAACACCTACAGTGAAATGTTGCCTGAAACTAATGCTGGACAATTTCATCAAAATCAGTAAATTATGTAGGAACAAGGCCATTTGGGTAGTTGTTAAACATTTGCTGATCTTTGAGCACATGGAGATTATGACTACCCAAAGCTTGATTTGAGGGTACATGCATCAAGCTGACTTGAGAATGTGCTTTGTTGGCTGCATAGCATTTGCAGAACTGCTGATACTTTTTATTTTGCCAGTGCTGGTTGGTTACGCTTTGGTGGGCGTGGAAAAGGGGAAATCCTTTGCAGTGCCGGTTGTCATTTGTGCTGGGCTTGTACCGCTAATTACCATCTAAAACATTTTTAAGGAGAAACGAATGCATAAGGACAGCAACTTATTCTTTGAACCCCCTTTTTTCACACTATTAAAGGGTTTTACATGCTGCATGGAATGTTCACAACATATATACATATTGTGTAAAGTATATACTGTAAATGAATGGATTGGTACAGTATATTTGGTGATGCAACTGTATGGGGGGGAAAAAGTGAACCAACTTTACTAATTTTGTATAATGGAAAAAGCTGATTTTGAGTGAAACGTAAGCATGCCCAGAGAATATAGGCCTTTTTCAACTCCGTGCCTCTGCATGCAACTGTTGTGTCATCGCCTACCAGTGAGTAAACCAAAATCTCTTATTTCATCTACAGAAACAAAAAATGTCATTGCATTCCTTTGCCTGTTTCTAATCTCAAATGTTGCATTTAACCAATAATAGAAATGAGCTACAGCTCCACAGTACAGTTGCTAAACTACAAGATTCAGATCAAATCTATCGTATCAAAGTACATCATCAGACTTAAGTATCAGGGTTAACATTTTTTTTTAATTTTAGGAAATTGGAGCATTTTTTTCCCCTTTTCATATCAAATGACTTCTAACCTTACAGCGCAAATGCATTTTGCACTTTCCAGTCTTTCACCTTATTTGACGATGAAGAAATGTTACATAACAGTCTTGTTGGACCAAAGTCCTGTAATGCAGCATAGTGACTTCGAAGAGCTGTTCCAGAAGAGTCCTTAGTGGTCTTGCCATTAAAAAAATGTTAATATTTTGTACAGTTTCTCACTTGCTTTTGTTAAAAAAAAAAACAGCTGTAGCGATTCATCTGTAGCTTTTGTCTTTGCTCTTTGAGGATAAAAATGTTATCGGCCCTCTGTATTGATTTATTATGTACAGGTCAAACATACAACTCTGATATGGACCATCTCTTTTGTCAGGAATACAGAGATCCAGGGATATGTTTGATCTACCATTGACTATTAAACATAATGCACATAATGTCCAATCGTGTGACATTAAGCTGTGCTCTGTTTAAAAGAGTAACGTATTGTAAATACTATAGTTCGTGACTGATGTGGTTTCTTACATTGAAACTTGTTTCAAGTTGCATTACTGATGCTCAAAGATTTCACATAGACAGAGAAGGATATTAAGTGTTTGTGCGATAAGGATGAAGTCTTCAGATGTAAATTAAAAGTTTGTTTAAATCTAGGAATAATGTCTTTATCTATGAAGTCGTTGTCATCTATTGAGGATACTGAATTTCGTCGAGTTTATTCTTGTCAATCGAGTATTAAGAATCCTCATAGTGGTGCACTTTTGACTCTTCTGTTGCTTTTGGTGACCATGCAGGGCAAAATAGTATGTACACGTAAACTAAATGAAGCTTTTCTTTTAGTGGGGTAGCTGCTTTCTCATTACTTGCCATGGTAATTAAGAGGTGATTTAATTTTCTGTTATTCTTTGTAGTAAATCTGCTGTACTTTAAATTTGTGGTTGCTGTATTGTTTGAAGGAAAATCTTAATTAGTTATTATTATTCTTTGGATTAAAGGCCCAAGCTTTTTGCTCCCTCCCCTCTATTGCAGTTTGCATTTTGCATTTGGCCAGGCTGTTTCACTGCTTTACTGTCTCCTGATAACTGGGCCCTGTCCCACCGACCTGGATCACTGAGTTAGCCGTACTGAACTGCTGAGTGACACCAGTGACCGCCCAGTGTATTTCACTCGGTGTTGTAGATCAGATGCGGTTCTGGCTTTCTACATGAATCCTTCCTCGTGAAACCGGTCCTAAGCGTGCCATTCGTGTTCGGCTGCTGGAAGTCACTCTCAGTTCTTCCACTTTATCTATTGTGTGTTCTATTTTTAGTTCCCTTTGAGGTTCATTTGGTTCTTTGTTGTAATTGTTTACTTTTGCTGAAACAGAAAAATAAACTTTACTAGCTATTACAACAGTGTTATTCTTTGTTTACCATGCATGTTTGACATTACCTCTTATGTATGCTTTGTCCAAGAAACCATACTGTGCAGTTTGGAATTGGTAACTGGTTCCTATTTGTGTTGGATAACTGGCTAAACTAGAATGTAAAGTCAATGCTGGAAGAGGTACTAATATATTTTACTTGTAGGTAAAAGTAGTATACACAAACATTAAATAAAACTTAACATGCCCCATTCTGTGGACTAATTTAAAGTTTGAGTGTAATATTATCGGGCCGAAGTATAGCTAATTTATATTTTTGGCAATTTACCTAAGTACAAATGCATCAAAATGATTAACTAGTATAACTTAACAATTGTTCAGAGATGGAAAAACTACTGCTGTTATCACAAGTACTTTATAACAAGTTTACGACCAAATAAACAGTCAAAGTTATAAACACTTAGTGAAGAAGACTAGTTGAGTTTGAGTGGTTTGATTAGATATGACTCCTAGTGACCTGGGATCATCAGGGGTGGAATTTTGAGTAAGATACAAAGTTCACACATGTCAGTCATAAGAAAAAGGTTTTCCGATCCTTTGAAATATATGCATGTCTGAACTCGGGCTACGGCCTATGTAGGGAAGTTTATTGTTCGAACTCTTTTTAAACAGAATATCCCCTTCATGCAACTATTTCTCAAATTTGCCACAAAGATTTAAGAAATTATGTAACTATCTACTGAAATCCTAAAAATGAATGAGTATAGTCCATTGAGTTTAGTCTGGCATCTAGCAGCCATTGCTGTACTAGCAGATTCAGGTGCTCATACATTAGCATCACTCAGCTATGATGGCTGCAGCAAATCTACACCATAAAGAATATAAATTATTGAAGTAACATTTCCATTTTTTTTCAGAAAAACAATTCAAGTTATAACAAAATGTATTTTTATATCAAGAAATTAGTTTTTAAAGAGATCAGTACCAATGATATTATTCAAATAGGAAATATTTTATTTAACCTGTGGAAATTCAAAAAGAAAAGCTATAAAAGACTATTCATGTGCTATAATTCCACAACTACACTGCAATTCCCATTTACTTCCAAAGGAGAGAAACTACAACACTGATCCAGAGATAGTGTGATATGCTCTCTGCGTGCCCTCCGGTGGATGTTGTGTTAGGTGCAGCTGTCGTCACAGGGGCGGTCGTGGTAGAACCTTTAGCCTGTCCCACACACATCCCCACATTACCTACTTTGTCCACAGCAGCCAGCTCTACATTCTGTGAACAGCAGGAGGCTTTGTAGGTAGCCACTGTAATGTTCTCACCCCCTGCTCCAGCCACTGTGCTGGTATTTAGGGTACCGTTCCCTTTGCGGATGGCGACGCTCTCAATGCCAGTTCCATTGATGCCATCGGTGAGATTGGCGATGAATTCCCACTGGGAGGAAGTACAGAGTGATGAAGAGGATGGACAAACGGTGGATGAACTGACTACCTGGCACACTGGGCGGGTAATATCTGTCACCTGGAGACACAAACAGGAAGTGGGAGAGATGAACAAATAAGACGGGAATGGGACATCATCCTTATCTTTAACAAGGAAAGGAACCAGAATAAAATAAGATTTCATCTGCAATTTTTCAACGAACCTTTGACTCATTTAAATATTACAATAACACCAAATCAAAAAAGAGATGAAACATGAATATATTATGTATTTGACCATTATTCAATATAAGTGATATATTTATGTTGGAAAATGTTACACATACTGCTCGCCACCTCACGCCAACCTCTTTTTCATGCAGTAATTGTCACCAAACTGCTACCATATCCTGCTTCCCTTTATTCCACAGCCACAGCACATGAGTGTTTCCTCTTACCTTGGCAGCAACAGACAACCTGAGGACAGTGTAGTTGATATCGTTGGCAGCTGTATTTTCTGCCTCAATGGTAAGGGTCACGTCTGATCCTGATGCAGCACTGGCTGGTGCTGTTAAGGTGACGGTGCCGTTGGCTTTCCCTCCACTGCCAGCCGCTATGGTAACGGTGCTGGGTGAAGTTGAAGTATAGCTGCGGTCGTTGTTTGCTCGAACTGTGAACGTCCCGGTTGCAGAGTCATTAACAACTCCATTGGTGGTTGTGGCGACTGTGAAAGGGACGGAGATGGTGGAGCCTGGTTCAATGTTGGTGTTGTTGGCTAGGGCCTGCACAAGTGAGGGGAAAATAAGAGGGAAGGGGAGGGGGGGAGAGAGAAATACAGTCACACATATCCTGTTCTAATGTATGGACAGTATATGTTGTACGCCTGCATCATGGTAGCCTTCAGTGGAAAGAAGACTGAAATATTAATTTTTTCATTACTTTTTAGTTTATGACCAAACAAATGACACTCCCATCAACCTCAGCATTTTATGTTTAGTGCAAGCCAATGTTAGCATTCCATTACCAAACTAAGATAGTGAACATGGTAAACATTATACTTGCTAAACATCTGTATGTTATCATTATTATTAGCAGTTAGCTCAAAACACCACTGTACACAGCATACATATTGGTACTATTTTATTTTAGTTTAAGTACATACACCGCTGATTATTTCATTGAATGGGAATAACCATAAACTATAGTCCAGCAGTCATGAAGACCTGTCCAGATTATTTACTTTCTAAATGCTGAGGCTAAGTGAAGAACTGAGACGGAAAACTGAATGTGATTGAGCTCACCGTAACAGAGATGCTGGATGTCTTGATCTGTGTGGGGGCTTGTCTCTGGAAGCTCTTGCTCTGTGTTGACCTGGACGTGGAGCTGCTGTCCTCTCCTCTTATGCGAACCACAAATTCACCTGCCGGGACTCCACTGAATGTCACCAGGAAGTTACCACTTCCCACCGACTGTGGAGGTAAGAGCACGAGATGGTCAGAATGACAACATTTTGTCTATTTTTTTTTTTTTTTTTACTTCTGCAGTTTAAGTACTATTTGCCTGAAATGTTACTGCTTTGCACAAAATATAAAAAAAAAAAAAAAATCTATACTACAGTGGAACTTTAGTCTGTTGCAGACTTGCCTTGTAAGTTAGACTGCGGCAACAGTCAGGACATTCTAATGTTCAAGATGTGAGGGTCAGCTACCAGAAAGCGTAGTGACATTAACTACAATTACTTTAAAATAGAAAATATAACATCTTTTTATATGGAAATACACTTTAGCTACTGGGAATGGCCCTTTAAGTTCATCAAGTGTAATATGGGACATGCCTGCAGGGATCCGTTAACCTCTGTTGGCCCTGAGCTGTCAAACAGAGTGACCCCTGTGACCTTTACTGTGTCACTGCCTGTTACAGAGACCAAGAGGCTGGCATTACCACCTGAGAGTCGAGACAAGAGAGAACCAGATGAGTGTGACTGCTTGATCATTAGACTTGACCAGTGTTTGTAGAGAATTGTACAAACTGTAAAATAAAGATGAAAATAATGATGCAAGTGGTCTGACCTGAAAGAGGACGTCCCTCCTTTAGACTGAAGTCCCCATGGGCTCCCTTGTGAGCTTCCACAAGATTAAAAATGAAGTTCACTGAGCTTTGACCTGACACACACACACACACACACGATCAGTAGGGCTACTACAGCTGTAAACAAAGACCCGCTGAGTAAAATCGTTCTCTCGTATAACTCTCACAGGTTAAAAAGTGATCTCTATCCTACTACTGACCTGTGACCTTAACAGAGTAGGGGTTATTAGAGTTAACTCTAATTTCCCATGAACCGGTTTGATTGTCAGTGTTGAAGCTTAAACGACGGAGGTTTCCTGCTGTGGTGAAAGATGCCAGAGGACCACTGGACTGACTGGAACTCTGAGACACACCTGGAGGAGAAGAAATGTTAAAATAACACTTTGGTCTACCAGCAAAACCAAGCTAAAGATTTTCTAATGGCAGTCAATGGAGGCAGTTAAAGGCAGTTGGAAGCACAATCGCAATACCTGTAGAGCTGGTGAGATCAAAAGTGAGAGATGATGTTCCTGTGATGTAGGCAGTCATGTTCCTTAGTGATCCATCAACAGTAAATGTAAAATTATCAGGCCGTCCAGGATTCCTCACTACCTGAAAAACTGTCACCTGAAAGAAGAAGGGACACAAACAGCTAGTTTATACACTGTACACTACAGTAACATCTTTAATCAGGTATGATTTTCCTGTTCAACGTCTTACCACAGCAGTGGCTGATGAATCCTTTATTACGCTTGTAGCCAGAGAGAGGTCCGACTTGGTGACCTCAATGGCCTGACCTCCAGAGGCTCGGGCTAGGTCCCGGTACAGCTGTGCATCTGATTGGCTCATTGAACGTGAACTCACACGCTGAGAACTTCTGCGTCGCCGTCCACTAGCCAGGACGTCCGTCAACATGAAAGTAACCTAAAGTATTCGGATAGAAAACACCTGTAAAGGTTATATTACACCCAGATACTATTTTATCATTTCTTTATGGAATGTATTGACATTTAGGGAGCAAGGGTGGTTAAAAAGTAAACTCTTACCACAGACTTGGAGCTCTCTATAAGGGCTGTGATGGTGCTTTTCAGGTAAGCATCTTTAGCTGGAGCGTCAGTGAAGACAAAGATCTCAGAGGAGGGGGGAGCAGCTGTCAGGGCCAGCTGTCAAGAAAAAACATTAGTTAATAAAAATAGACTTTATTAAATAAACAAAAGGACATGACAAAATTTGATTTCAAAGAAAAGTGATTTTATATTAAAAAAAATTAAAATCATCCATCACACCTGCAGTCCAGACAAGCACAACTCTGGGATGTCTCCTCCTCCACTTGCAGACAGTTTGTTAATGTTGTCTTTGAAGACATCTGCATTTGTTGTCATAATCAGAGGTCCAAAACCTGGATACAGAGTAGATAACCGTTACCACTTGCCGTCACTCACTTAACCATACATTTTATTTTGACTAGGGCTAAAGAGCACACACACAGTTTACAATGGCAGAAAACAAATTGCAGTTTTAGAAAACTTTGTTACACAGCAGAGCTAATATTTATTTGGAAGCAGCAGAAGCTAGTAAATTCATCTTAAACGTGATCAAACGTCACTCATGAATTACAGACTATATGTCTGTACCTGGGTCATTGAATGGTACCAATATGTAGGCAGAGGGCTCCTGCTGGGTTCCCCTCTTACTGTCAATGATGTCGAAGGAAACTCTCTTAGCCTCAGCTATGTCATCGCTCATACTGCCTGTGGTGTCAATGACAAAACACAGCACAGAGGACTGGGAGAGGCCCATCAGTCTGTGTGAACACAAGAGAGACAAAACATCATTACCTGATACAGCTGATCGATTTCATCTGTCAGATGAATCGAGATAGATTGTTTGAAAAGTGCAAGCTTCACAGACATCTGCGAGACATATATCATCGACTTTCGAAGACTTTATTTTAGTTGGCCCATACCGCAGGAAGTTCTTGTCTCCGACAGCTAGTCTGATGTCCTCCAGTAGCTCCATAGTGGCATTCACAGCCAAATCAGCTGCTTTGTGGTGAAGTGAGCCATGGCTGGACCCAACATCATCCTTATTAATGCCTCCCACTGGGTCATGTCTGCTCGTCTGGTCAAATGATCCACCGTGGCTGCATTTACCTGCAAGCAGAGAGAATGTGTTTAACGTACACACATCTGTTCACAAGATCTTATAGTGGAACAGAACAAAAATGTGGATGCTTCCGTAAAGTCACCTGCAGGTTTCGCTGAGGAGAAGACGTTGAAGTACCCTGAAGTGAGAAGCCCCTGCTGCAGCAGGTTGTTCTCACAGTTACCTCCTGTACAGTTTCTACATGTTGGTGTACTTAGGCCTGCAGCAAATCCAAGAACAAACAATAAAACCTGGCACGGTTAACTCATCTGAAAACATGGTGTAACATATTCAAAACAAATCATTTTTACAAATTGTATTTAAATGTAAGTCTGTCACTGGTATGAATAATTATAATTTACAGTATATTGCAGATTAAATTGGGAGAGGAAATTCAGAAATCCCTCTTGAATGGTGAGTAAAGGGCTCTTTGTGACAGTTTTGATGTAGTTCAGTTTAAAAAAAATACAAAGCATGTACTGTGTGGGTACTAAGTTGTAGGCTTGTGTGTCAAGTGAAATATTGAGCACAAACGTACTGATTTTCATGTGTGGATTGCGTGATTGAACGCATACCACGTCAGGGTGGGTATTTGTTATCTGACAGGTGACGAATAAACTGACAATGTGCCTTGTGTGATTTCTCGCTCAAGCACATACAGTAAACAATAGCCAGGGTGCAGTTTTGTGGGCAAGAGCTCAGAGGGTGAAATCAGACTCTTCATATATAACCATATTTCCTACCTGCCAAGTTCTCGAGAGGTTGATCTGGTGTGATCAGAGTGCTGTAAGGAGCATTGTTCCCCAGCTCCACCCAGTTACTGTGGCTGTAGAAGTCCTTGAAATACAGAACCAGAAACATCATTCACCACATCACTACTGCTTGTTGTTTTGATCATGCCTCTCACCTCAAAACAATGACACCACTGTCCCCACAACAATGATCTTAAATCTCACCTGTAGGGTATGACAGGCTCTTCCAAGAGTCCATCTCCCTGCGATAAAGTTCTCCAGCTTCACACTGGCCTTCACGGCGGACACACCTCAGCAGCAGAATAGAGAACCGAGAGAGTTAGCTGCAAACTGAACCCGCACTGAACCTGCAAGAAGTTACTTTTACAGTTGTTTCATGGACGTCTTGGGTGGGAAAGCAATGTTTGATGTGTACCTGCTGTTATGACATCCCGTCCTCCCTGGAAGGTCTCGTCATCAAAATGGTGCTCCTCACTCAGCGCAAAAACCACGTCCACTTTTGCGTTGCCGAAGTACATGTTGGCGATGGACGTTCTGAATATGACAGTCGAGAGGAGAGCGGTGGAGGAATCTGTAGTGGAACAGGCCCTTTGCACCTTGTCAGTTGACAGGCTGTCATCAATCTGGAGACAATGACATGACAAATTACTGCACTTTGTGAAATTGTGTCTTAACACACCGTACTCTTATGTTCCAGCCTCATGCGGTTTTGCACTGAACAGTTTTTAAGATAATCAACAGACTCATGTATCTCCATCTTTCTGAAACATTTTTTTAAAAACACCGCCACAAGGTTTTATGTGGAAAGATTGTCCCCATATCATGTAATAGAAATAAATTAAACATATAATACATCATCTAGACATTTGAATGCACCACAGTTGCTCTGTTTCAGTGTGGCTTTCCGACTCACAGTCAGGCTGAAGTCCCGTCCCTCAGAGGCAGCAATATCTCGGCAGACCTCAGCCGTCTTTCTGAGGACTGCCCTTTGTGTGATGTCACGGTGAGTGGTGGAATTCCCATCAAATGAGAAGAGTGGTTGGAAGCTGTTAATGAGGCCTGGCAGGGAGATGACCAGCGCCACCATGAACAAGACTGCCATGATGGGCAACGAAGTTGGAGAGTGTTACGTGTTGTGTTTTCTCCCCTCCTGCCCTTCCTTTTGCTCTCTCTCCCACAGTCTCCTAACAGGTCAATCGGGTGATTGGATTCCACCTGTGGGGGCCGGTTGTCCTGATTGGTGGGTGGCACCAGCGGCAGGCTGACCAATCGGCAGAGGGAGAGCCGCAGATAAAAGGCAGGAAGCCTCGGAGTTCAGAAGAACCAAATACCAGAATCTGTAGACCATATCATATGTTATTGCCAGAAATTCTTACTTGAGCGAGACAGCTTGAAGAGGAGGCTGGGAGTTGAGGAACTAAATCTAAAAGATGCATTAACCTTGGGGGCAGGAAACATACAATATGTGAAAGAAACAGGATTGAGCAAAATAATTTAAGTCTCTGAAATGGAGAACTCCTTTTTGGTTTTGTTTTATTGTTTTACATTATTGAGTTTAGTTTTTTTTTTTTGTTTTGCTTTTGTAAGGGGATAGGTTATCGGGTCCACACTCCAATATAGTAGGTGGCGGTAATGCACCTTTTACTGGATGCTTCAGAGTTCAGAATAACTTCACTTCATACTGTGTTTATGTAAACTATGAGAGCGGAACTTGTTAGAGTTTGTGGTGAGAGGTTGCGGACAGTAGGTGAGTCTGGGGTACCCTGTACATTGGCACACACGTAGTATATTTTCTGTGTCTAGATACACTAGGTTTATTGGTCGGTGCCTCATCTGTATTCGGGTTTTGGTCGAGCACATTTAGTTAAGTTAGAGAAGCCATTTTGTTTGTTGATTTCAGAGGTTAGTTAGTTAGGCCAAGTTCTGTTATCTTTGTTTCAATTGTTTGGCACGACCACACCTGTCCCATCCTCTCCCAATCTTGTGTTGTGACTCACTCATCTATCACTGTACGTGAGCATAATAAATATTGTTTGGTACACGAGCTATTTGTTTTTCATTTGGGTTGTTTTGTGTTAGTCCCTAAATCCTTCCCCTGGACAACAGAGAAGGGACGTAACAGAGAGGAAGAAATCTGAACTGTACTTTCTCTAAACCTTCTCAACTCTTCCCTCTACTTGTTTTCTTTCCTTCACGTCTTTGTCCAAAAGGAGAAAATCTCCTCCACTGTTTGCAGTAACTCCACAATGGGTGGTTACTGGCAGTGAACTAGGTAAAATGAGGCAAGTGAAACCACCTGAGGAAGAAGTACAATATGACGATCAAGACTGAAAGAAGGGGAATCGTTCTTTTTACAGTTTACATTAAACATAGCATTGATGCAACCCGATATCATGACATTACATTAAAACATTTATAAAAGAACATGCATTTATAAAATAGGAGAATCTCTACTTCTATATTTTCAACTTAATTTAATATATTTGTAAATCATGGTTTGACCTAATCTGAAAGACAGCAACCTCATATTTTAAATAGGAAAAAGAAAAATGCCAATATTACTACTAATAATTAAAGTAATACAATAATTAAAAGTATAATATGTAAGATTACTACCAATTAACTACACACAATTAACAATATGCAAATATATTTCACTTACCCTGTGTGCACTCTGCGTTTTAGCAGTCCAGACTTATTCAGACGTTTGCACCGCTTCAGTCTTCCTTTGTCAGCATTACCTGTTTACACTCATAATATTGTGCAAATTGTTAGACCTATGCGTTTCCTGTGTTATCTGGAAGTTTTAAGAGTGTGTGTGAGTGTGTGTGCTGAGAGACAGTGAGTGTGTGCCCTCCTTCTTCCCTCTTATAGTTGCGTCTGTCTTCCGTGACTGAGCTGACGAACAGAACTGCCACACACCTTTTTTCTGCGTGTTTGAGTGAATCACAGTTGTGAGTGTGCTTTTCTTTGTATGTAATGCATCCTATTGCACATTATTATAATTTTTCAGAAACCCCGGATCCTGATTGACAACATCCATCAGCTCCGAGCAACAAACCCAATCACATGGCTAAAACATGTAGACAAACATTCACATCTATGGGCAATTTGTGTCCAGTGAAAGAAATACTTAAACATGTTTATGTGTCAAGTACGGAGCTGGTTACATTAAATTTAGCATGAGGACTGGAAGCAGGGGGAAACAGCTAGCCTGGCCTTCTCAAAAATGTAAAAACACATCTAGTAACACCTTTAGCTCACAAACTAAGCCAATGAAATCAAATGAGACCAACTTGGAAATGCTGCCTTGTAGAGTGTTTATGAAACCTGGCCAGCAAAGTAATGTAAGGTCAAAAAGAGTACAGAAGGAAAACACATTCATTGTAAGATTAAAGACCCAATAACAGTTATCAATGAGGGATGCACTTATCCGACTTTTTCAATCCCCATACTGATACCTGGGCTTTGGGTAATGGACGATTCCTTCACACACTCACTCGCACACACACATACAAAGATACATTACATACATTATACATTATTATGTATGCCACCATGAGGACATTCAGTTTTAACAGCAGAGCCATTTTTATGTGTAATAGAAGACGATAATACTACGAACTGACAACTAAGCTCAATCACACGACACTGTGGCCAGTACGGTCTGTAAAGTGTAGTACGATCATTTTTGGATGGAAACTTTTTGTCTATAAATTTTGCCCCTGTGGAATGTCTTTATACTACTTCAGAGGGACAAAGTTATTCACCTCTGATAATGAAACCAAGAAGGACTCTTCAGAAAAAGAAAACTATTCATTCGATGAGTCTTCATCCCGGAATATTTCGCAAGAAACTTGTCAGTGAAATCCCGTGTCACAGTGGCAACATTTCATTTACAAGAAAGTGATACTTATTAGGCGAGAAGGAATCCACAGAAGGTGGTTTTAGTCTACAAATCTCCAAACCATTCTGTAATCTGTTGTGGTTGTTCTTTTACAAGTTATGGTGTAACAAATAATTATACATATATATATATATTGAAAATTGCTGCACATACATGACATGAACTTGCATCATCTACATAGCATTTTGTTTCATTTCTGAAATGTCAGCCCTGTGTTGATCGGATTGGGATACACAGTACCTACACTTAAATTAGAGATACTAGTGAACTTTTACACATACACAGTGGCACCTCTGGTGGATTGCAGGTAAGAATCCTGTCTGCATGTTGACACAAAACCCTGTTCAACAGCATATGTTGTACCTAAACTTTGTTTGATTTATTGAGTCTGTGTGAGTCTTTTGTACCTGTTCACTCCCTCAACGAGTATGTTGACATTGTAAAGGAGTCATGTCCTACTTCAAAAAATTATTGTGAAATCTCAGAGAAGAATGGGACTATGATGATAACAAAACTTGTCAAGTGACATTCTTCAGCTATCACATACACAGTAAAATGTCCCAGACGTTGAGTGACAATCCTTGTGAAAGCCCAGTATTCATGTTACATGATGTTTTGTCTGAGCCAGGGGGGACACCATTCTCTACACTGGAACTAGCGTATTTGGACTTGGGTGTCATCAATAACTGTGGTGACATACCTGTTCATTCAACAAATACTTCATTCTGTTTCCGCAAACCGCAGATGCACTGAATGTTGACGTTTCTGAACCAAAAATACATTTCATAAATACATTTCATCATGTTTGCAGAAAAGGCACAATGCCACGTGATTGACGTTGTAAAAAGATTGGATGGGTTTAGGCAACAAAACTACTAGTATCAAGTGGAGGCTTACTTTTGGTTTGATTCTGGGACACCGACAGCAGTCTTCTGGGTAAAAGTCCTGTGCGTGTCCATCCTTCCCACCCGCCCTTAGTGGACTTTGTTGCTTGTTATAATTATTAAAACCACCTAACTTTCAATAACAGTCCCTTTATACGATATGTCACGTGTTCTGACCTTCTGCAAAAACGTCCACATTAAACCAATCTGTAGTTTGCAGAAACGCAGCTAGCAAACATTTTTTCCTAATGATTGGGCCGCTAAAACCAGGTCAACTCACATCGACGAATATTTGTGAATTACACACCGGCCCACTTTCAATCAGAAAGGCCTCATTTTGCCATTTTGACCTTGGAGCATCACATTGACTAATGCTAGCAACAATAGATGAGAATAAATGGGAGTGCCTCAAATATATTTGCCAACCTTAACAGAGTGGCTGGCAGTGTTTTCACCTTGTGAGTCTGCATGTGCGTCATGGCAAAATGTGTTCCTGGAGACAACTCCTAGGAACTACCACAGAAGCAGTTTTGAGTACTTTGCCTGTGAACATATTTTGTTACCGTGACTGCATCACAACCGTACAAGGTGCAGTTACGCAACTTTACAGATGTTTAGTTGAGATAAAGGCGTTTGAAGATGGGTGTGCTCCGAGCAAAGGCACCAGAAGTAGGTGGGTAGGACGTCAGGAAGGGGCCATCAATTTCGTTATGAAATAACCTTTTCTGTAATATAAAAGACATCATAAACTTTGGTTGTGACATCTACTATACTAGTAATAACTAATTTTATGGAACGCCCAAAATTGACAAAATGTAGTATCTCAGAGAGAGAGAGAGGGGCCAAAAACCCCTGGCTATCTTACTCGGACCACACCCATCTTCAAACCCACTACACACCTGTAATGTTTCGTGAACGCATCTTGCGACACACTCGCTTTCAGCTTGAAAAACACTCGAACAATCCTTTAAAATTGTACATTTTTTTAATCAAATGAATGGTGGTAAAGGGGAAATAAACCTTGTCCATTAACAAGCAGACTTACAGATTGCTATTCAGATATACAGTATGTTTTGACTTGACCAATACTTTTTTATGACACTATTTTCCATTCCAGGTCTCCATATGCATGTTCTATTATGATCTCAGTCAAGCCATTGTATCCCTCAGACCAAAACACACATTGCTGCTCGTTGGTCGGCAGCAAGCGTGAACTTATCTAGCAGATATGAATTGAGTAACAGAGAAAGTGTATCCCAAGTAAGGCAAGTAAGTCTGAAATGTAGACCAACACCATTTGCAAATATTACATCATAAAATTATGAACATTTCCTATGTATATATATATTTTTTCTTTTTTCCTATACATGAAGTTTTAATTCGTAGAACTGTGCCAAAATGTGATCCCTAAAGCTAATAGGACCATTTATTTTTCTAAATTAAACCTGGGCCTTTAAATGACAACACTACCTGGGTAGTTAGTGTCGTTGTGAAAAGATGAGGCACTGTAAACAGCAGTTTTCTTTTGGTTTTCGAACACTTTCACAATAACAAAGGGTAGCAAAAGAGATGCAATAATCATACCAGCGATGGCAAAAATGAGCCAAAACGCATCCACTGGTAATGCAGATATTGGATGCAACTTATTGCTCTCTCTGTCATAAACGCAGTTCAGGTTGCTCTTCAGTCTGTAGATGACTTCACACCTCTGTGTATCCATCTCTGTTTCTGTGACTTTGAAAACCTCATAGGGAGGAATCAGCACCTGGCTGTTTAGCTTCAGGGCTGAGTAATGCGTGACGTCAGCTCCGAAACATGTGAATACCTCAAAACATGAAGCGTCCCTTCCAAAGCTCTGCCCGTCGAACCCTAATACGAAGGTACTGAAGCAAATCAGCTCTTTAGAGATGTTCAGATTTAAAAGTGTCTCTGTTCTGTAATATGTGCAAAGACATGTCACCTGACTGCTTCAGAATCTGAACGGCTTCACTTAGGGACAAATAAAGGGAGCGGGGCTCAAAAGTCTCCTTTTGTCGTTTTGCAGTACTTTCTTCTAGGTCTTGCTTGACAGGTTGCAGCATACTATTGGTGTACATGTATATGGCCATTGAGTGATGTTTCTCCATGTACTTGTGTGCGGGCTCTCTGGCTTTTTGCTCGGCATCGCTCCAGGCTTGACTAAAGTTTGTATGCGTGTCCCATTTCTGCATTATGGCTTATCAGTCACAGCAGTAGCTTTGGATCCGCAGTCGTCGTACAGGTCATGGGTCTGACCCTGCAGGAAATGCTGAAATGAGAGACTTGCTGTTCAGTATTTATCCAGTAGATGGAGATATACACTACATGAACAATAATAAGATGGAACCTCTTTTGCACAGTAATTAAAAAAAACAATTACAGATAATGACAAGATTAATTTCAAAAGTGCATACTTAAAGATGAGAAATGCATGTTTTTTTAAACACTATTTGTGATCAGAGTAACTCTTTATGTTATGCTTAAGTGCTGTAAATGTCAAATATGTAGTGTTAAATAAGTGGAAAAATACCTCTCCAACAATATCCTGCCAGCTGAGCGTCAGATATACGACAACAAACACCAGCAGTCCCACCAGAAGAACAAGAGAAGTAATGGCACACGCAGATACAGTTTTTCTCTGACATGCTTGCCTCTCCAGGAAGGCATGGTGCATCTGGAAGAAAGGAAATCTGTTGTTTAACCCAGAAGTACTGAGATCAGAGAGAATGTGAGTTGAACAAAAACCTGCAGGGCCCCTACTGGAACTGAGCACTGTACTGCAACATATATCATTTCATCAAAATGTATCATTTCAGTTGAATCTGCTTAAGAGGAGTGTAACTCAATCACATCACTCTATTGTGAGAGCAGTTGATCTAAATACAAATAAAGGCGTGGAACAACATATTAAAGTTATTTTAAATATTGACTCTCCAATCTGCAAAAAATATAAAAGTTGATGCATATAAAAATCAGTATTAGTGGGAACAAAGCATTCCATTTTGAAAACAGTAGAAGTCTAAAAAAAAAAAAGTGCTATGTTCTTATAACTTACCACATCCTGAGCAGCACTATGATGAAGTGTTGTCTTTTATGTGATGAGAGGAGCTGCCATCAACCTTTTCCAGACTGAAAAACATCTTCTGATTTTAGCCAGTACGTTTTGTGTTTTACAAGCCGATGACATACAATGTCTTTGTTTGTTTTAACCTGAGCAAGCTACCAAACAGGATTTACAGGTGTTACCACATGTGGAACCTTCATCTGGCAGTGCAAGCAGTGAAATGACAGGGCCCGTGTGGGGCAAGGCTTTTATTTACACTCGACAAATACATACACGATATGAGGCTACGCTGCAGCCCAGGAAAAGAGAGACGCTTGCGTTTCTTCTCACTAAATACTGCACAAACATCACGAGCGAGAGAAGATCCATTTTATCTCTGGAGCCTCTGAGCAAAGTTGCAGTAGAATGTATGTGCTGTGTGGTCATACTTGTAAATCCTGTGAGCCGGAACTTCTTTGTTGGCAAACAACCATGCATCTGCACTCTTTCAAAGCACTATCTCGCTGCTGAGAAACTCACCTCGGAAAGGTAAGCCAAAAACAATCAGATACCATACACTGTTGGTGGAGAATACGAGGATGTGTATTGACGGATCAGTCTACAAGTAAATATTATGTGGATCCTTATTATGGATTATCGTTTATCTCCTGCATGTCAGCCACTAGGCTCATACTTTTAATTGCAGGTTTGTGCAAACAAACTGTGTCAATGTGCACGCAAGTAATATGATTATACAAAGTCCAATGCATATTCATGGTGTTGAAAGAGTTAGAAAAGCTATTTTAGTGAGACGATTTCTTTCTTTTCGATCAGATATGAAATCTGGCAAAGGGCCAGTATGTGAGCTGAAGTCAATGAGGAACTGGGCAACCCTTTGTGTGTTTTTGGCGGTGGCGCTCCTTTTGTATCATGACCCGTCTCTACTACTCTGGTGGCCTCAGAAACCTGCCGAGGTGCAGATTACAGTTCTTTCTTTGACACATTTTAACTGTTACTTGCGTCAGCCTATGCAATTGTTGTTTTTGCTCACCTTAGCCGTCTCTCATCTGTCATCTGCAGAAAACTAAGACTGCTGGTTTACCTCTGGACATGGCGACAGATTGCATCGATGACATGTACGATGGTTGCAAGTCTGAAGCAGCCTCTGTGATCGACATGTTCGGCGTGTCTGAGTGGCACTTCAACCGAAACTTCAGCATTGCCTGGGCTTCAGCTGAAGGTGGTGCAAAGAAACCTGTGCACCAGCACCTGAAAGAAGAGCATGCTACAGTCATCTACATGTACACAAAGGTGAAGAACATCCAACAAGACTTCGACCAAGCAGTGAAAACAGGGAAACGCAACTACAGCACATACAGATTTAAGTTCCACTATTTCTACTTCCACCTGACTGATGCCATTCAAGTTCTGCGTCACAAGCAAACATCGTGCGGAACCACCTTTCACAGGACATGGAAACACTTTGACCGCAACTTAATCAACACAAACATGCGTTTTGGTGCTTTCACCTGGGTGGCTTCAAGCAAGCGGTCGTTTGATTTTAATGGCAATGTGTCTTGTTTTGAGATCTACTCATGCTTTGGTGCCGATATAACGTATTACTCTGCAACAAAACAAATGGGACAGGTGCTGATTCCTCCCTATGAGGTCTTCAAAATCACTGATGTCCTGACAAACGACCCATGGTGCAGTGTGGTTTACAAGCTACAGAGCACCAAAGTACCAAGGAGAGATTTAAATTGCAAATTGAATCAAAGGCAAATAAACACATATTTTGGAGCTTTTTTAACACACTGGCATGCAAGCGGTGTTGTGATGATGTCAGTATGCTTACTGCTGTTGGTCATCATTTCTTTGGTCCTTGTGAAACGCAGGCAGAAGCGTTTTGTGGCTGCAGTGCTTGGAGCTCTGCTGGTGCTGATGGTAATTCTGGGGATATACAGAGTTAGCCATTATTAAAGAGGGGTGCTGTTGTGGACACTTTGTTATTGAGAGAATTCTTAATATGTTTTTAAAAAGTTAGGAGGAAATAAAAATCTTCCCTTCATTAGCTCAGTTGGCAGAGGCCACACTGTTCACAATAAACAGCTCACTCGTTGATTATGAGGTAAGTTCTTGTTTACACCCAAAACAAAAAGTATGTTTACCTTATTATTGATATGCATCTAAGAAAAGAGGTCAAAGAATTGTGTATAAATTACTTTAAAAAAAAAAAATTGGTTTCACATTTTGGGAAAGCAATTTGTAGGGTTATATAAATATAGAGGAAAAAAAAAAGACAAAAGTAAGGAAAAGATAGTAAGAAAAGAGTAAGAACAAATGGGGAATGAAAGGAGGAGATTTGAAATAAGCCAAAACTCAGAAACTACTTTCAAATCTAGATTACAACACAAAACCTTATATCATCTACAGAGAGGGCAGAGATCCTTCCGTGCTTAGTTAAGAACAGGTACCTTGATGCTGGCAATTAAGGTACAGGCAGACACAAAGGTCTTCCTGAAGATCAGCATTTATGTGTTTTTGTGATCATGGGGATTTTAAAGATAACTTATTTTTTTGTTGAATTGCTTCATGTACAGTGACTTGTGGAATATTTTTTTTGAAAAAAAAAAATAATCACTCGAGGAACTAATTTGCATTGGTTGCCTGAATGAGCCCAATATGTTGAGTTGGCTCTTTTTATTTTTGTGAAAGATAAACAGAGCAGTTTTGATGAACACATCGCACAGTATAGACTCTCTACATGTATTTGTATGCTTTATTGTTTATCCTGTGTCTTCATGTCTCGCGATGCCTGTGTAATATATAGTCCTGCTGTCCCTTCACCATGTGTAGCCTACTGCTATACATGCACTACAAATAAAGAAAGTGTTTCAACAATGGTCATTTTACAGTTACTGACATGGAATTTAAACACTCTCAAAGCTGGGTAACATTGGAGAAACCAGCAAAAGTAAGATCGATTTGAAAATGCAACTGAAAACTCAACCCAGTGCTGCCAACTCATTTCCTTATAACTGATTTCAAGTTTATTTTTTGTTTCATCTTTAACCCTTAATGTTTCTGTATTAATTTAATAAGACAGGCTGAAAACAGGATGTAAAGATAATTTAAACAAATATAACAAAGCATGTTTCTGTAATACACTACTCACCCTAGCTTTGAGGTATTCTTGTCTTAGGTACAACAGCATGATTCCCTGATGCACAGACCCTTATAATCCATTACAATCAAAGAGGAAATGGGTGGGCCTTGTAGTCCTGCCCCTAATTGCAATGGCCAGCAGCTGGTGAAAGTGAACCAGGAGCTAAGCTTAACAGATAACTTGCAAGTCACCAAAGTAGTGCTCCATGTGAGAACTGAGTTGTGGTAAGTGGAACAAAACTTAATTTCTTCTCCAGTGTTTTCGCTAGATTCAAAACAGATATTGTGGAGTCCACTTCGAGGCCCATTTCAATCCGTCCAAAGTAAATTATCAAAATACGATAACTAAAAATGGAATCATTTACACAGAAAACGCCAACAATGCGTTTACTGAAAGAGGTATTTTTGTGTGCAGGTCTCTATGCTGGCAGACAATGGCAATGAGGGCAGTTTGGGCAGCAGTGCTAATGACATGTGGAGTCTCCGTAGGAATTGCAAAGGTATAGTGTATAACCTGGATAGTGGCTTGCTTTAGTGTGACTGTTTTGTAATACCATTTGTAAGTAAGATTATAACCAAGTAAGATTTTTATTTCAGAGCTCTGCAGAACCTGGGTTAAAAGGTCAAGTTCCACTGGATTTGGCTCTGAACGCTGTTGACGACATGTACGCTGGTTGCAAAGACAAGATGGAGTACAGAGTGAAGAAGGAGTTCCTGGTGAATGAGAAACGCAAAGACAAAAATTTCACCCTGGCCTGGGGCGAGGCAGAAAAATACTACAACAAAAAATTCAAGCGCAGGAAGGGAAAGCGACCTTCCACCTCTCTGGGGAAAGAACAGATCATGGCTATTTACGTTTATTCCCTCGACAATCCGAAAATCTATCTTGATTTTAACTACGCAGTTCGAACCCAGAAATCTAAGTACAAGACCACATTTAGATATCACGCACTTCACTTTTTCCTGACTGACGCCCTCCAAACTCTTAGCACTCGCAAACCTGGAGAGGAAAGATGCCTCACTGGCTACCGCAGAGTCAACGGCTACTTTAGCCAAGATGTTCTCAACAAGGTGATACGCTTTGGCTCTTTTACCTCCAGCTCAATGGGTTGGTACCCCAGCGCTGAAAGATTTGGAGACAAGTCATGCTTTGAGATTGTCACATGCTCAGGAGCAGACGTCTCTCTGTACTCTAAACTCGGGGAGGCTGAGAGAGAAGCCCTGATTCCTCCTTACGAGGTATTTAAAGTCACAAAGATTGAGAGGAGATCTGGCCAGAAGAGTCTTCCGTGTGAGGTGGTCTATAAACTGAAAAGCGTAGGAAAAACACTTTCAAATTTGAATTGTGCTCTTTTCTGAGATGAAGTACATTTAACATGCAAAATAATATATTGGGATTAGGAAACAGAAGGGATTTTACATTCTCAAAATTAATTTGGATATGATTTAAATTTATGCATATTGTTTTTCATATTTGAATGATTGAAATGTTAAAAGCCAAATAGTCAGAGGTGACGAGATTGTGAAAACTAGAATTATATTATTTAAAATGTTTGTATCTATGTCATCTGTACGTAGATAAATAGACTCTATCAAAGAAAAACAATTGTAAAATCTTGTCAAATATAATAAAATACTGTGTCTTACAAATTGTCCTCGTCTGACAAATGTTTTTCATGCATAATTCATAGACATACACACTCATAATTAATGACAAGGTAGAAATGACTTGAACGGGTTGAGCTCCCAGCTGTGATCGGAAAGGCCTGCAGCTGATGACAGACATGAGCCAACCCTAGGAGTTGCATGAGCTCATGCAAATAATGTCTCAGAGAAATTAACAGTATTAGTGTGTGAAATGCAAATTATTTATTGGTAGTTTTTATTTCTTGTTTGTTTTATCAAATTCTGAACCAGAAAGTGTGAGAGGAAACCTGTTTTAGGAGGGGAGGTGAAAGGAAAAAATAAAATAAATGAAAATTTTAGGAGTGTACAAGTCTCCTCCCGCCATTTGCATTATCAGTAACTGAGGAAGTCAGCAGAGTCGAATATGTTCACCGTTAATCAAATGGTCTAGACAGATTACAATGTTTACTGAAAAATAAAAGTTAACTGTCAGATGTCTGACTGCACAGATGCTTTAGTCAAGCTCCTACCTCCAGCTTAATGCATTAATGCTCCCCATAATGCTCCTTGGTACGGTCATGTTTATCTTGCACTCAAAACGGTCTCCTCATTATAGGACACTTATGAGGCATCTTACTGTGTCTTACACCCAATGTCAGTGAAGACTGCAGAGACAGACTATGCTGTTACATTAAAGGGTGTTTCTGACTCAATGTTGGCAGAGATTGTTTTTATTTAACAACTGTGTCTCCAGGTTTCTATTTTAATGGAGGGTGGCAGTCTAGGCCGCTAAACACTTTCAATATGCTGTACAGTAGCATATATTGCTTAAGTGTAACTGCTCTACACTTTATCTGGAAGTAAAAATGACAAGATAATGTGTCCTTATGTCAGTTATTTCTTTAAAGCAGTCGGCTACACCTGGGCTAAATGGCTGCCTTCAACTGGACGAGGCTTGAAGCAGTTTAAAGAAATGAGAAAAACAGAGACTAATAGGACCATGGCTGTGCTTGTTGTCTGTTACAACATGTAAAGCAGTGTTTACCTTTGAATCATGTCTCTTGTAAATCATGTGAGGTACTGTCAAATATAGACTCTTGGTTCTTCTAGGAGTCGCTGTGAAAGTTGTAAATAAGCTAAACACATATCGCAGCACAGAAGACACCATACAAAATAATTTTAAGAACATTTGTAAATGAAAAGCTAATTGCATTTTATTTCAGATTCTCAAAATAGGCAAGGCAAGTTCATTTGTATAGCACATTTCAACAACAAGGCAATTCAAAGTGCTTCACATAAACCATTAAAAGCATCAAAACATAAGGCAAAAGTAAAGGAGATTTAAAAACAAGAACATTCATTAAAACACAAAAAAGCCGTGTAAGAAATAAAATACAGTAGTAAAATGTAGAAATGCAGGAAATTGATCAAAAGGCAGAGGCTCTTAACCCCCCCCCGTGAGTTGTTCAATAAATCAGAAATAATGAATGGCCTGGGTAAACGCTTGAAGGTTTGGAAGAATGTGTATTACTTATTAGAGACCAGTGGTTCTTCTGGCAAAGAGAATTGGAAACTGGTTTTGCTATAATTACTTTAAATAGTTATCGTAAAACTGCATTGCATTGTGTTGATGCATACAATACTTCACCTTCCATGGTTGCTGCATGCAGGTCTGTCTATTTTCAATCTCTGCTTACCACAAGAGCTGATGAACACCAAACCCTCTTTAGTCAAATCGTTTACACACATCTACAGGTTTTGCATGCCAGCAATTTAGTCATGGACATTATTTGGTTACATATCATCAGGCGAAAACAGGTGTTTTATAGAAGATGTGATTAAAGCTGGAGCTGTACATTTGAAAACACGCAGCAACAAACTCAGGGAAAGACAAGGTTGGTGCTTTTAAGTTTCTAGACTGTATTCAAGTTCTCACGTGAAACAATGAATAAATTAGATCATTTTCTAGGGCCATATTGTGGTTTCACATGTGTACATCTCTCTTCTTGTCTCTTTTCTTCACAGCTTGTAAGGAAAAGTATGTTTTATTAATAATCCCTCGTGACACCTTTACAGCTTTAGTTTGAGAAGAAAATGTAGTGATGCACACAGAGAATGAGAACGATGGACAATGTCTGCATTTCTCAAGCCAGTTAATGTATGTCAATTTCATGCACGTAAGTCAGTGACATATCTCACACTTTGCCCCCTTGACAACTAGATTTCTTCTGACCTATTTTACTCATTAAACAAAGGTTGAGTTGAGTAAGTTGTAGAACATGCAAACCTCCACTCTACATTTCACTACAGTGTTTTTTTCTCCCTGTACTACTTTCCAGAAAACATGCAAAACCTGACAGACGGAGAAAAGATTCCGTGTGGTCTCTGTTTGCACTCTCCTGTCTTTTACCCTACGATTCTGCCATATGTCTTGATCTCTCTGCCCGCTAATGGCTGGGTGATGTGGCTGATGATATCATCTCCAGTCTACTGGACAGACAGGATGGAAGTGTCTGAGTTCCACTTGGTCCTCACAGAGATGATTTTTGGAGTCCTGGGGCCACCTTTATTGGCCATAAGATATTTTTCCGACCATGAACTGACAGACGCAGTGACTAAACTCATCAACATAATATTCACAGCCAGGGTTCAATTCCAGAGCTGTGTCTGCATAGAACGCTATGTTGCAGTCCTACGCCCAGTGCTGTACCGCAGGTATAAACCCCTTCGGTATAGGATGAGCCTTTGTTGTGTGTTGTGGCTGCTAACCATCCTGATTGGTATAGTCCAAATGTTCTTTTGCAGTGAAAGTGAGGAATCAATAGTTCTGTACAAAATCTATTTTTTGATGGTCTTGATTCTCAACTCTTTCTGCAGCTTATCAGTTCTCAGGGCTCTGAAACAGCCCTCCCCAGGGGAGGGAGAGAGGGAGGGATCCAAATTGATCAAGAGAAGGGCTTTCAATATAGTCCTGATGTTCCAGGTGACTGCGTTTGTAGGCTATGTACCCCTGGTCACAATGTTGTTCTTGGTTAAAAAAATAGAGCACAGCACACTGTGTATCTTGCAGCCTTTGGCTTACTCTGTAATGGTTTGGCTTGGGGTCATCTATCCTCTCCTCTACTTCCGCAGGGCAGGTAAATGCCTGCTGAGAAATGGTGTATGTGTCAGTTGTTTTCAGGCGT